ATTGCACACAGTACAGTAAACACTGCGTATTTGTTTGCATGGGTTTCCTTAGACTTACGCTCAGTCTCTGAATATATATAATTTTGATTGTAACAAATTTAACCCTATTGAACCCATTTCAATTGGAAAGGAGCCCCAGGGAGACCAGAGATTCTGCCCGAACCTGGAGAAATCTAGACTTGCTTCATTCAAGGCTTTAGCATTGGCTGTTGGGAAAATAATATGGTTTAGGGACTGTGAGACAGACTAGGGCTTCCTCATCTCCAAAATAACTTCTAGTCTGTGAAATGAACATGCTATGCTGAAAACACAGTTCCTAAGTTACTTTCAGAATATATGATATAAGGAAACCGGAGATTTCTTCTTCATTTTGAGACTAAATAATTATGCAGAGCTCTAATTGCTTGGAATTTCATCAACAAGTAAAGATTTTTATCACCCATCATCGAGATGCTATTGAAAGTGTGTGTGTGTGTGACAGGAGTATGTATTGCCCCACCCTCTCTCCCCCTAGACTCACCCTCCCATTACCAGCTCAGCAATGTTACTGTTAATTTTACCCCTCAATGCAAAATATATAACGACAACAATGAAAATTATACCCATAAGAAAATACAGAGATTTTGTTTGTCGCCATGTCTTCTGCCCTGAAACTACAGTCATCTAGACTTGCCACATACTCTAGACTTGCATGGGCTCTATTGGGTATGTTTATTTCAGGGTCTGGGTGACAGACTACATAATTAATTGCATATTGCTTTCTTCACAATGTTAAACCTAATAAATTAATACTTAGATCGATATAATCTGCCTATTTATTGCAATATGTACAGCAATGGCTGTCAAATGACCACATACATTTTAGCCGGTGTCAGGACGACACTCAGTGTGAATGCTTCAGGTCAAATTTACACTATTCTTAATACACTGTTTAATACATTGTTTACAGTTTCATATAAATTTTGACATGGCGATAAACAGGTTGCCATCATGGGATTACCGTATTTAACCACAAATACAGCAAATCAAGTGATGGTTGGTGAAGCGTTATTTATTCCAAATATTTACACATTATAACAACCAAGGCACTACACTATAATGTTGCAACAACAATTTTGTAAAGGGGAGATGGGACGTTTGAGATATGTTTTCATGCAGTATGTTACTTGTCATGTTGTAACATTTTGTAGGGCGGTAGGGTAGCCTAGTGGTTAAAGCGTTCGCTCGTCACGCCGAAGATCCGGATTAGATTCCCCAAATGGGTACAATATGTGAAGCCCATTTCTGGTCTTCCCTGCCGAGATATTGCTGGAATATTGCTAAACGCGGCGTAAAACCCAACTCACTCACTGTTACATTTTGTTAAGAGCTAGGGATAGACAGAATTCACTTTTCGTAATGAGAGCTGCAAATAACAGTACAATAACATGGGTAAGTTATATTTAGGTGACAGACAACAGCGCGTGTTCTAAAGTTGATCTGTTACCAACTGTATGTTTGCCTAGAGACATGCATTCCAGGTAATCCGAGTCGCCAAACAGCCTAGTACACGTGAGACGGGCATTGGAAGCACATTTCTTATGTACTGCTTTTGGGTAGTCAAAACGTTCTCACAGCTAAACATTGTGTTCTTAGATATCTTTGTAAACAATGATGCCAATGCAACGTTGTTTGAACATTTTATACGACTAGGTTCTAGTGCTGTGGATAAGCCTGAAATAGGACCCATACATGCTACCTAACCGCTGAAATGCTTGGTCAGTCTCGGACATTAGCTGACCATTTCGACTACCACACAGAGAGCGCATGTACTCCAACCTTGACCTAAATGATGGTGAAAATAAGTTCAATAAATTCATTCCGGGTTCAGACAAAAATGTTACAGTTTACACAGATAAGCCAACAGGGATTGTAGAGTATATGAAATTATCAGTAGGTTTAGTTTAGTCATACAGTTTCTGTAGGGTAGTTTCTAAAACGTTTCAACCTTCTCAACAGCAATGTAGATCACTCCGCATTCTGCCGAGCCATATTTTTGGTCTTCAGTAACCCATGCTGGTCGTGAGAGGCGACTAACGGGATCGGGTGGTCAGGCTCACTGACTTTGCCGACTATGTCATCGTATCCAAATTGCGTATATCGATGCTCATGCTGTTGATCACTGGATTGCCTGGTCCAGACTCGATCATTTACAGACCTCCACCATATAGGTGGAATATTGCTGAGAGTGGCGTTAAACAACAAATCAAACCAACCATGCAATTGGCGTGACCTGCGGCGTCAAACACCAATCAAACAACCAACCAATCGAGGAGTAGTTGTGGACGGACTCAGATTTTGTTAGATACCGAAAAAGGGGAAATTCCCCGCAAAAATCTCATGAGCTATAGTTCAAATGACCTTTGTTGATATCTTCGTTTACAGTTTACTGTGTAATCGCTAAGTCATATTTATGTATTTCTATTTAAGGCCGATGGTTTGACCCGTTGGTTCTTCTTGGCTGTGACGAACTCGTTGAAACGTCTGGAAAATATCGGGGAACATTCGGGTCCATCAACACGACTCGGTGATAAATGCCATTGACCCTTGAGTTGTCATTTATAATCCCCTTTAGACAAATCAGGTAAGTTAAATTTTCTTATTTCAATACATGTATTCTTTTAGGAACAGGTATTAATGATATAAAGTTGACTCATTTATTTTTCATTGTTCTTCTGATTAGTTTATGTAAGTAGAAAATGATTTAAATCATATCAATCAATAGGTGATTGTATTGCAAATGTGTATATACATGTATTCATTAAAGGACGGGCGATGTGGTAACACAATATTTAAATCCTATCTAGCAGCAACAATCAAGTATCCATTGTAGCACAATATTTAAATTCTATCTAGCAGCAACAATCAAGTATCCATTTCTGGAGATATGTCGAGAATGCGTCGACGGGTTTATGAATATATAATACAGAAAACTTGAAAAACGTGTTTTCTTTCACTACACACTGTGCGGGACCCGCATCTCAAACTGTGCCTTTAACACGACAGACTTCTCTAGCCGTGATTAACCCACAGGCTGAGTGTAACCGCCGGGGAAGGCCGAGTTCGCTGTCTATATTGGGGAAGGCCTGACGCTCGCAGGCATTATTTGTGCCTGAGACTGTTTTACTTTCTGCATTCTTCTCTTGATGTTCCGTTCGGGCTGGAAGGGATCTGTTTCGGCTGTACTGGTAGATGCCTTGTTATTTAGTTAGGAATTAAACGTATGTTTCAGAGTTTGAATCCCAAACGTCCAATGCTTTGTTCTTTAGCAGTTTCGTCGAGTGGAGTGATGCTGTGTACTCGCAGGAGACATTTGTCAGTGTGCAGAGATAATATCAGTGCTAAATGTATCCCATATAGGTTACAGTGACCTGGAGCCATTCACCAGCTACTTGACACATACAGTGCCGCTTACATAGTATAGATAGTTGCTAAGTAGGACAGTGGACCTGATAACGACCTGTAGCCTCGGGTGTACCTACAACAGCAGAATCACATTACCATCACACAAGGCACTGATGTGGACCGGTTTCTAGTCGCTCTGAGTCGATAATGGGTATTATGTCCGTCCCACTTCTGAACAAAATAATTTGAAACAGCACATATTACATCCACATGATCGGAATGTTAAACTAAAGTCCTTTTTCTAAGGCTACATTAGTTGTCTGCATCGTCCTCCTGAAGGCGCTTACACGATATGATTTCGAAAATAGATACTTTTAATAAAAATTATTGATTAATCATGATTTCGTTAATATCAGCTTGCCTATTGCCTATGTAGAATGTGTGTGTGTGGGGGGTCCGTTGATGCGGGGGAGTACGTATGGTGCGTTGAGGGCATCGAAAGGCAGGGAAGGTGTGAAAACAACACAAATCTACCGTTATTTAACATTAAATCTCCAGTATATACCCTACTGGGGGATTGCTAATCGTCGTCTTACACAATTTCGGTAATTTCATAGCCTTCCCAGTTCATAGGCTACGCCGGGTACATATTCATTTGGGTGTGATGCATCTGTCCAAGGTTCATCATACAGTTCAGGTTATCTTAAATATTCACTTACTGACACTCCGGTATGCAGAGGTGACAACTCACAATAGTGTTTACGTGACTCGATAAACAGTCTCTTAGTAATAGATTATAGAAATGAGTCACGAATGAGTTAGCTCTAAAACTGGACATACGCGTTACACGTCAGTCGGCACGGAACATTCACCCGCTAAAACGCTAAGAAAGACAGGAAGCATTTCCTCTGCATCAGAAACTACCGGCAGTATTGGTTATTGACGTTTATCTCAACAATAAATGTGTGAGGTGAACAGCCAAAACAACGTTCGATCATTGATTATATTGATGACTGACAAATTATTAATAAAATTCAAATTTAATCACACGACGAAAACTCATATATCAAGCAATTAATTCAAAAAAAATTCTGTAATATGTCCCCAAAAAATCGCCGGCGAGATTCTGCTAGTACTGTTCGTGTGTCCGAATGAATGAATTCGAGACCGTAACCACGTGGTGCAAAGAGTGACGTCACTGCCAAAAAGGTGATTCCGATCTTGGGGCCCTCTAAAGGTAGTAAATCGTGCATTTGGGATTGTTTTTATCATTATAACATTTTCAACATTGATAAAATAGTAATTCACATCTTGTCCGATTCAAGGCAAGTCATCAGTATCTTGTAATACAATAATATGTGTACGAAACGAAAGTATATAGCAAAATGGCTATCTGTGGCATATACTATCATTTATATGTAAATACGATAAGAAAGGATAATATGTTGTAAGTGCATTCCTGAAACACAAGTGATATTGTTTTTATGCGTCAAGAATGATGTTTCAAATACTTCACTTTCAATTCATTTTCTAAAGAATAAATCAAGAGAGAAACACTTTCAACCTTAACGAGGCCCCCTTACTCACGTGACATAGCTCTCCCGGTAAACTTGTCAGAAGCGGTTTTAACGGCAGGTATATAACTGGCGTGTTTTGACAATCGTTAGCAGTTTGAATAGTTTGTCGCCAGATACACACACGCAGTCAATATGAGGGAAATAGTTCACGTCCAAGCTGGACAGTGTGGTAATCAGATCGGAGCTAAGTTCTGGGAGGTGATTTCCGATGAGCACGGAATAGACCCAACAGGGACATACCACGGAGATTCTGATCTGCAGTTAGAAAGAATCAACGTTTACTACAATGAAGCAACCGGCGGAAAATATGTCCCGCGTGCAATCCTTGTCGATCTGGAGCCCGGGACAATGGATTCAGTTAGATCTGGACCATTTGGACAAATTTTCCGTCCAGATAATTTTGTTTTTGGTCAAAGTGGCGCCGGTAACAACTGGGCCAAAGGACATTACACAGAGGGTGCTGAACTTGTCGACTCTGTCCTCGATGTTGTGCGAAAAGAGGCCGAAAGTTGTGACTGTTTGCAAGGTTTTCAGCTGACACATTCACTCGGAGGAGGTACAGGTTCTGGAATGGGTACTTTGATAATCAGCAAAGTGAGGGAAGAATACCCAGATAGAATCATGAACACATTTTCCGTCGTGCCATCACCTAAGGTAAGAACTTTTCTCCGCACTAGTGTCAGGTCGTTATGACTCACTCTTGAATGGCAGATTTGGTTATGTTGACCCTTGATTAATTTATCATAATTGCCAGCATGGCAGATCTCTGAAATTGGCAGTGTACCGTACGCAGCTTGTCTATTACTGAGTCAAGTCTAGCGCGGGTGCTCTAGGATTCTCAGCGTTAGTGGTATTGCCTGAAATTAGGTAAGGTTATCCATAACTCCTTAACATTTGGATGTGACCCCCTTCCAATCGAACACACCTTTTCGATCGTTAGGGCAAGTTGGTAAACAGGAACTAATTATTTGAGATCGCGCCCTGAGTCAAGTGTTGGCTTATTGTATTAACGAGTTGGATCTTGCTGTGGGAGAGCGTTAGTGATTGGAATGACTCATTAGCTGGCAGCATCCTATAGCTATGCTGATGATCAAGTATTCATCATCACATAAGTTGAATAAGTGTGGTCATGATATCTATGTTTTGTTTTAAATTGGGTGAAGGGTCTATGCTGCTTAAAAACATCAGGTCATTTGGTATAATTTCCCGGTAAGACTACAGAATACCGGATACCTTCCGCCATCTTTGAAAGCATGGGAGTTTACTTAGGGTTAGGTTAAGGTTTGGGTTAGGGTAAGGGTTAGGGTGACGTGACACTAAACAATATGGCTGGTATGTATCCTGTATTCTGTAGGTGTACCAGTCTTTGGGGTAAAATATTACCTAAATGAAACAAATGGAGTGTTCACTACAGATCGGCTATTAGCATTGTCAGTCTGAAACAAAAAATTATTTGAGCCAGACTAGTGGCTGATAGCTTGATCAGTGTTACATAAGGATCGACAGGATGTCATTTTGAAGCTTCACCTAGATGATCATAATTATATGTTAACTGAATAAAGTAAAATCCAACATTCACCCAGAACAATTCACTTTGTTTCATGCTGAGAGCCTAGGCAATCTAGACTTGCCAAATTTTCTAGACTTGAGATGGGTTTGTTATCTACCGATATTTCTTCTCTAGTATCTGGGAGCCATTCTTAACCTGATCCCAACTGGTCCCTATTTTGGGTAAAAGGGACAATAATCTGTTATGACAAGGAATCCCCCTTGATGTAAGTCTTCCACTGAGTTGATAAAACCCAATGTGATGTGGTTTGAAAGCATGAGTGTGACTTCACAACATCCCATGGATTTGTTCTCTAAAATATGGAAAGTAAGGATTTGCATATAGCTGTCGTTGAGTGTGTATGGTGGCAGGGGATGGAATTGCGTCTGATGTATTATCGCTATCAAATTTCACAACATGCAATATACACAGAAACAAAAGTGTGCATGCCTTTAGCAACAATCACTAATCACACTCTAAGCACATCTCCAAAACAATAATGAGTGAGTTTTGTTTTACACCGCACTCAGCAATATTCCAGCTATATGTCGGTGGTCTGTAAATAATCGAGTCTGGAACAGACAATCCAGTGACCAACAGCACGAGCATTGATCTACGCAATTGGGATACGGTGCCATGTGTTAACCAAGTCAGCGAGCCTGACCACCTGATCCTGTTAGTCGCCTCTTATGACAAGCATGGGTTACTGAAGATCAATTCTAACCCGGATCTTCACGGGTCCAAAACAGTCACTCATTGATCAAGGAAACTGACTATCATGTCTCCATTAGAACATCTGCTGGATTTACTTTACTTAAAAATAGACATTTCTGCTGCTTCCTGTTGATAAATGCTTGAAAATACATTGTGTCCAACTTTCTTTTGTTTCAGGTGTCTGATACAGTTGTTGAGCCATACAACGCCACGCTGTCAGTACATCAGCTTGTTGAGAACACAGATGAAACATACTGCATTGACAATGAAGCTCTCTATGACATCTGCTTCAGAACCCTCAAACTGACCACACCTACTTATGGTGACTTGAACCATTTGGTATCTGCTACAATGTCTGGTGTTACAACGTGCCTCCGTTTCCCTGGCCAACTCAATGCAGATCTTCGCAAGCTTGCCGTCAACATGGTGCCATTCCCTCGTCTGCATTTCTTCATGCCAGGATTTGCACCACTCACTTCAAGAGGTAGCCAACAGTACAGAGCCCTCACTGTTCCCGAGCTCACCCAGCAGATGTTCGATGCTAAAAACATGATGGCTGCCTGCGATCCACGACATGGCCGCTACCTCACGGTTGCTGCAATCTTCCGTGGTCGCATGTCCATGAAGGAGGTTGATGAACAGATGCTGAATGTCCAGAACAAGAATAGCAGCTACTTTGTAGAATGGATCCCCAACAACGTGAAGACCGCAGTGTGTGACATACCACCACGTGGCCTCAAAATGTCTGCCACCTTCGTAGGCAACAGCACTGCCATCCAGGAGTTGTTCAAGCGCATCTCTGAGCAGTTCACAGCTATGTTCAGAAGAAAGGCTTTCCTCCATTGGTACACTGGCGAGGGTATGGATGAGATGGAGTTCACTGAGGCCGAATCCAACATGAACGACTTGGTGTCTGAGTATCAGCAGTACCAGGATGCAACTGCCGAAGAGGAGGGAGAGTTTGATGAGGAGGAGGCTGAAGAAGAGGGATAAATACCTTATGAACTGACCAGTTAGCAAGGATATTTAACCAATTGCTAACCTAAAAGTTATTAAAAAAAATTGTATTCTGAAAGTTTTGGTTCATTCGTTAAAATCAATTCCATAGGTTTATCCTGATCAATACTTTTGGTTATCATTTTAGATATTTCTGAAAACAACCCAGATAGCATTCAGACGTTGGCCCAACGTCCGAATGCTATCTGGGAAGTTTCATCAAGTAAATACTCTTCCTCCTTTGGCATATCGTGTAAGATGCTTATTGTGGTATCTTTCCTTAAAAATCAGATCACTGTTCCATTGTAAAATAATGCCAATCAGTATTAACCCGATTCTGCAATTTCTTTTCTATTTATTAAAGGCAGTAAGCGCACACTTGACAATATGACATTGTCATTTGATTTAGTCTGAAACTGATATTTTGAATTATCATTCCAGAACTTGGAAAGGGTACATATTGTTATATTTATCACAGCTGTAACTATTCCAACTGCTCTTCCATATAAAACATCAGTATCTGAAATATTTTTCAACTTTTACTATTTCATTTACCAAAACATTATATGGAAATAAAAGAACAAATCTGATGATTTATTTGTTGGTTATTTTTACATGAACTAGTTGATTGACTGGTTTTTTAGTTTATGCCTTGCCATCTGATGACATTTGGCCTGCCATTTAGTTGAGGAGCATGTTAAGTCCTGAGTTGAGCTACATTACGAAGTGAAACTTGGATGCTTTCGCGAGTCAATTTGGGATAGTAGAATTCTAGCACTCCTTGGGGCAATGGGGTAACCTCATTCTATTTGGCTAGTCACACCAAAGACCTGGGTTTGATTCCCCACATAATTACAGTGAGTGAAGCCCATTTCTGGTGTGCTCACAATTATGTTCGTGGAATATTGATGAAAGCAGTGTAAAACCATGCTCACTCATGCACTTTGGCATCCTCAAGGAGCACTGTGGTAGCCAAGTGTGAAAAGCACTAGCTCATCATGCTCATGCCGAAAACCTGGGTATGATTCCCTTTCATGTGTGCCACTCATTTCTTACGTCCCTTGTGATCAGGAAAATTATTTTAAGATGTGTAAAATTGCATATAGAAGGGTGTCTTTAAATTGGAAGTGTTCACTCAAAAATCACTTTTTTTCTCATACAATACCAAACAACGTTATAATTAGTTAATATTGATGTTGGAAAACCACTGATTATTGACTGAACAGGCTAGTTACCTCCCTTAGGTTATGGTGTAATGAATAGTCATGGACGTTTGTCAGGCTGATAGTATATATTAGGGCTGCAGCCCTAATATATACTATGTGGCGAATATATATGTATCATGAATATTGGGTAACGAATACGAATAATTATTCACAAATACAATATTGTAGTTAAGTGATTGATGTACAATATGAAACGCCCATGTTGACAGTGTTAATTTGTCACGGTAATAACCAGTGATCTCATGACACTCAAATTTGGTATGTAATAGTTATAGTCGACAGTACCATGTGTGGCCTTGGCAAACTAACGACTTGCGCTACTGCAAGGCTAGTACATTTTCCATTCTTGCATATCTTAAAGAAATCGTAAATATTCGTTAATATTCGGTTCTGGTGACCACGAATAACGAATTGAATTCATGAAGGGCTACGGTTCGATTCACCGAATATGCGAGTGAATCGTTACAGCCTTAGTATATATAAACCCTAGACAACATTACATTAAAAAGAGTCACCTTATGCTCACATGATAGTATGGTTATCATTTCACAATCATCTCATTTTAAGTAAAACTAGTGACCAGGATTGTGTTCTATACAGTTTGGACTGTTCAAAATAGAATAGAGCATATTTTCTTTAACAAATGACTGACAAAAGTTGAAAATGCCAAAAAGTCACTACTTATAATTAATGCTCTGATACTTTATGTGAATGTTTGTAACTTTAAGCATTGAAAAGATTTTACATTGGTGTCAGTCTGTCCTCACTAAACACTTTCCAGATACATTGTTGTTCCTTAGTTGTACAGTTACATACTTCACTACATTTGACATGGTCTGTGAATGTGCCTGATGAGCAAGTGCCTTGCGTTGTCAGTATTTCACAGGTTTTGTGTGGTGTACACCCTGTAAATGTTGAAAAACTACCATCCAGCACTGCTTTATTAGCAATTACATGCCCCAGTTTTTTTCATGTGTGTCTCCTTGGATATGGACTAGTAAATCCTTTCATCCCAAGGAAGTGTCAATGACACCAAAAAGAAAATATGTCTTTCAATTTCTGAGCAATCTTCCTTGGTCACTAATGTTCACTCACTTGGGCTGGTGGGGTAACCTAGTTGTTAAAGCGTTCGCTCTTCACACCGAAGACCCGGGTACGATTCCCTACATTCCATACAATGTGTGAAGCCCATTTCTGGTGTCCCTCACAGCGATATTGCTGGAATATTGCTAAAAGCGGCTTAAAATCATCATACTCATACTCACTCACACTCAGCTGTATAGACAGTTGATCCTGTGACACATATGTATCCAAGTGCTTTATGGGTGTAGGGATTTATCAAGGATTCTGAACTAAGTGCAGCAAGCAGGCAAAGTCAAATATTTATTTTGCCAAAATTTGTATTTTACAAAGTTTCTGAAATTAAGAGATAGGAGACTGCATTCAAATGTAATATATATAAGTACAGCAACTCTCCACATATTTGTCCTGTTATCAGTGCGATATAGGTTATTGCTTCAAGGCCATAAAGGCTTTGTTTGTTGTTTGGATGGTGTCCCCCCCATCACAGTCCTCAGGGATAGACATGGATTTGGACTATAGTCAGTACTGGATGTAGAAAGTCTTGCATGAGAGACTGGCTGGGTTTGTTTCTATTACATAGCTCATTTCGGATTGATCATGTGTGACTAAAAGTGGCATAAGGGATAAGCACTTCAAACAATCCTAAAACCAGTATTAACTCTTGGGATCTCAGTCTTTGTTTTGATGTTGCCACTGACCTGAAGAAAATTGTTTGGGATTTATTTTGATTTAGGGATGCAGGGGAATGTCAAGGCTAACATGTTTTCACTCAGGAAATTGATAATGGAAAATGGACCTGCATCATGACTGAAATGTGTGCATATAATTCAAACAAAACTACTAAAAGATGAAAATAGGCAAGTATAGCTGATTATCAGTACTTATTGATTTATGTACTTTCATTTGACATTTAACAAGTAATTAGACATTTGAGTGACTATAGGTTAGTACAGATAGGTGACATATTGGGGGATGGTGACTGAGCTTGGGTAATGTATTAAATTTTGTTTTCTGAAAAGACTAATCTGCCAAGCCAAGATTACCACAGCTCCTGAAAGTGAATTATTATTTTGGTTGACATAATTATATTCTTTTCAGAAGATAACTTCACTGCTGGAATTAAATGTCAGTCTATGGAAAGACCAGGGTCTCGATCCAAAAACTGTTATGAACGCTTTGTGGATCAGGACCCATGGCCAGTTGACCAATAGTAGATAAGTCAAGTGTGATGTATTCAGTTACGATGCCTTCACCAAAATACAGATAGAATGTGATGAAACTGGACATTTAGATAATCTTTCTTAAAAGACATGTCAACCAGACTGGTTAATATTAACCAGGTCAATAAAGTTTTGGTTTCTGAATATTAATTGATTTCGATAGTCATTCATCACACTGCATTCTTTATGCATACTTGTGCTAATTTGAGATAATATTGTTTTCATATTATTATATACAAAGGATGTGTGTGACAAGGTGACCAAGGCAACTTGCAATAGACACAAGTTTCGGTTTCAGGCATGTAGTTATATGCAATGAACTGTGTGTCAGGTCAGCCATTAGTGATAGAACCCCTTGTGTATGTACCCCAGGGCAGCTTGCATCACCCTATCTATACCCCAGGGATCACGCCATCAGTTTTACTTGTGACTGGTGTTCCAGTTCTTACATATACAAGGTCATCTGACATGGGGTGAGTGAGTTTTGTTTTACGCCGCTTTTATCAATATTCCAGCAATATCCGGGCAGGGGACACCAGAAAATGGGCTTCACACAATGTACCCATGTGGAGAATTGAACCGCTTTATATTTCGATGCTTATGCTGTTGATCACTGTATTATCTGATCTAGACTCGATTATTTACAGACTGCTGCCATATAGCTGGGATATTGCTGAGTGTGGTGTTAAACAACAAACCAACCAACCAATCGGCATGAACAGCAAACACTTTAACCACTAGGCTACCTCAGGTCCCTCATCTGACATGGATCAAGTCTTAGTGATAGTAATCATGATGAATGACAAGGTTGTCAAGCTCATACAGTATAGTATATGACACACTGGTATGAGCGACCTTCAGTGTCACTTTGAATAAACAACAGGTGAGGATAACAATAAAGTAATTAATGGCAATATTTTTATTCCAGATGTATGGTTGTCATGGTTAAATCTTAACCTTTTGAATACTACATTCATTCTGAAATGGTTTCCATTAATAGATAGTTTGTTGTCTGACACAAGCCTCTGCCACAGTCCAGCTATATGACAGGCCTATAAATGATTCAATCTGGGTAGGAGAATCCTGTGATCAATATGGTGAGCAAAGATCCACAATGCTGGGATATGATGATGCACAGTCAACCAACTTGAACCTCTTACAAACATCACCTGTTGCTGGGGACCTGTATAGTAACCCCCGGTCCTCACTGACCACCCGATCCATTTGGTTACCTCTTACAAACATCACTTTTTGCTGGGGACCTGTATAGTAACCCCCAGCCCCCACTGACTACCCGATCCATTTGGTCACCTCTTACAAACATCACATGTTGCTGGGGACCTGTATAGTAACCCCCCGGCCCCCACTGACCACCCCATCCATTTGGTCACCTCTTACAAACATCACCTGTTGCTGGGGACCTGTATAGTAACCCGGCCCCACTGCCCCCACTGACCACTTACAAACATCGATCCATTTAGTAACCACCTCTTACAAACATCACCTCACCTGTTGCTGGGGACCTGTATAGTAACCCCCGGCCCCACTGACCACCCCATCCATTTGGTCACCTCTTACAAACATCACCTGTTGCTGGGGACCTGTATAGTAACCCCGGCCCCCCCACCATGACCACCCCATCCATTTGGTCACCTCTTACAAACATCACCTGTTGCTGGGGACCTGTATAGTAACCCCCGGCCCCCACTGACCACCCCATCCATTTGGTCACCTCTTACAAACATCACCTGTTGCTGGGGACCTGTATAGTAACCCCCGGCCCCCACTGACCACCCCATCCATTTGGTCACCTCTTACAAACATCACCTGTTGCTGGGGACCTGTATAGTAACCCCGCCCCCACTGACCACCCGACCACCCGTATCCATTTGGTCACCTCTTACAAACATCACCTGTTGCTGGGGACCTGTATAGTAACCCCCGGCCCCCGCTGACCACCCCATCCATTTGGTCACCTCTTACAAACATCACCTGTTGCTGGGGACCTGTATAGTAACCCCCGGCCCCCACTGACCACCCCATCCATTTAGTCACCTCTTA